TCTTCAGTTTACAACTGCTGGCCGCTGGATAATCAATCTGGTCACTCTGGGTTGGAAGCTGAAAAGGTACCGCATTTCTATCTTTGCTTTATTTTCATGTATATAAACTGTTTGATATATTGTGCCACTAGAGCAAAAAAAGAATATTTGGGTGATAATGTTCTGCAGTTTTCATAAGGTTGTACTGATTTTCCCTATTTAATTTTCCGCCTCTCCCTCTTTAATTTTCCCTTCATATGGACATTTAACCATTCAACTTGCGCATTTTAGAAACATGTCTTTGAAATTGAGAGAATTATCGGTGGTTGAAATCTTTTCAATTTTGAGCACACCTTACCAGATTCCCATTTCAATTTTGTCATATTCTGGATGGAATCTTCTGTCTTGTTTCTCTTCATCTTCCTTGTTCTTAAGTTTGTATAGTAATCATAATTAGGATGAATTATCTGTGGATTAATTATTTAATTAGGTGGCATTATCTTATCTCTAATACCACTGTCCTTGTCTTCAGTTCTAACTACTCTTCTTCTTCTTCATAGCCACAGCTTTTAAAAGCTCACCAAAAAGGAAGGGGAAAAAAGACTGTACTGATACCCAGTTAAAGCTCAAACAGGTAATTTTCTCCTCTTTCCTCTTCCCCCTCCCATGGGATTTATGGGTATGTGAAAAATCTTCAGTTCTAAATCTCGATCATGAATACCAAGTCATTTTCATAAGGCTGTACTGATTTTATTTGTGGGCTCTTCATCATTAGCTTGCAAATGAGAGTTATCTGGATATAGAAAAGCTGCAAGTTGGGTGATAATGTTCTGCAGATAGCTTTTTAGATTCTTGTATTCTTGGTACTATCATACTTTCTTGTTGTTGGTTTTATTGTTGTTAGTTTTATGTGGTGATGGGTGGATTGATTTTTAATTCCTTAGGTACATAAAGGAACATCAAACCAGTTAATTAAATGCAAATTTTCATCAGAATATTCTTTTTTTTTTTTGGATATGAGGGAAACCTCACAACCCTTTTGGTTAAATATAGAATTCAAAAATGTAAGAAAAATTATAAGTTGGTATGAGTGGCATTTGGAATAAAAAAAAAAGTCCAGTATTATACACCCAAAAATCCAAAGCTACAGATTTTTTATTTGACAAATTTGGGTTTAAATTAATTAACTTTGTAATTTAATTGGATGATGGACTGACTTAATAAGAGTATAAAGAGTAAAAATGAATTTAGGTGGAAGTGTGAGGTGTTATTATATGTGAGTTAAGGGATTTTGGACAGAATGTAGTCAATATTTGAATGCTTCTTTGTTGCTTTTTTTGTTGCATAATCATTATTTTGAAAGTTATGATAATATATGTGAATATAAATATATTGGCATCGCGACCACCCGATAATAATTATTTCTTTATTTTAGTTTAGAACAGTTTCATATGGACAAATATTACAGCTCTATACAGTGGTTAAATTTTGTCTCAACTCATAAGTATCTTAATTTGTAAGTTTAGTTTACCAGTTGCTTTGTCTTAATGAGTATTTGGTACAATGATAAGTTAATCCTATAATTGCAGTAGAAGGCTTATGCATTAACTTAAAACTATTTATTCTATTAGCTTCTTTTGAGTGCAGCAAATAGGTAGAGTTTCTCCTTGAAAACTATAAGTTGGATCACTGGATTGTTTTTATATTGTTTTATATGATACCCAACTATAACTCTACTTTTATGCTTTCTGAATTACTCCTAACTTATTTCGCATTTCATTGCAAATTTATTATATCTATACTAATTTATTTACTCACTTTTTACATGTAGTTCCAACAAGTTGATTATGATAAAGCGGTTATTGATCTGGTGCGTTCAGAATGAGCCGATATTCTATCAAGTTATATAGAGTAGGTATGATTTGACGTTGTAATCATTTAGACTTTGTTCGTAGAATTGTTTTTTGTAGTATTATGACTTGGATGATGATTCGATTAGAATTGGTAATGAAAGTATTTTGACTTGTTATTTTGAACCTTGCTTAGCTTCTTCAAAATTATGTAACTATACTTGGCCATGGTGAATGGATAAATTGATTTTTTTTATATGATTAAAATTTAAGCAGGTTAAAAATGGGTTGAGACAACGGTTAAAAACCGTTGTCTATTTTACAATAGACAACAGTTTGAAACTGTTGTCTTTTCTACAAAAGACAACAGTTTATGAGCGTGATTTTTAACAACAGCGATTTCAACAACACACAATAGACAACAGTTTATAACTGTTGTCTTTTAAAGAAAAGACAACAGTTAAAAATCGTTGTCTATGTGCATCACTTTTAACAACACCGGTTTCAACAACATTGAATAGACAACGGGTCAAAAACTGTTGTCTTTTCTAGAAAAGACAACGGTTAAAAACCGTTGTCTATGTACGTGACTTTTAACAACACCGATTTCAACAACACTTAATAGACAACGGTTAAAACACCGTTGTCGTTTATAGAAAAGACAACGGTTAAAAACCGTTGTCTATGTGCGTGACTTTTAACAACACCGGTTTCAACAACACTTAATAGACAACGGTTAAAAAACCGTTGTCGTTTCTAGAAAAGACAACGGTTATTAACTGTTGTCTATGTGCGTGACTTTTAACAACACCGGTTTCAACAACACTTAATAGACAACGGTTAAAAAACCGTTGTCGTTTCTAGAAAAGACAACGGTTATTAACCGTTGTCTATGTGCGTGACTTACAACAACACCAGCTTCAACAACACTTAATAGACAACGGTTAAAAAACCGTTGTCGTTTCTAGAAAAGACAACGGTTATTAACCGTTGTCTATGTGCGTGACTTACAACAACACCGGCTTCAACAACACTTAATAGACAACAGTTAAAAAACCGTTGTTGTTTCTAGAAAAGACAACAGTTAAAAAACCGTTGTCTATGCGCGGGACTTACAACAACACCGGCTTCAACAATAGAAATTATACCCCTACGACAACGGTTATTAACCGTTGTCTATGTGCATTTTTCTTGTAGTGCGCCCCCGAAATTGTATTTTGTATTGATTCAATTCTAAGATCATCATATTGTTTATCGATAGATTTTCCATATATACACCTACCTACGGCGAATAACACACATACACCCTCATATATCTCTGCTATGGCGACAAGAAATGATGAAATAAAAACAAAAGGGAAAGAGATTTTGCAAATCTTAAAGAAAACAGTGGTCGTAGTGAAATGGAGTTGCCAAAGCTGTACGTAGGGGTTGGCCGACATGTACAGAAACGTGATGGGATCCGTCGCCATCGTCACCCGTCGTATTTTGTGTGTGATAATGTATGTTCCTTATCAACAACGAGGAAGGTGAAACTCGTGTGACGTTGTCGCCACTTATCATTGGATCCACTACGTTACTACTAGTACTATGCCAGCCAGTCGCTGGCCTCGGCATTTTATGGGGCTAAATTTACCTTCATTTTGTTGATTAGTTAATTCTATTTTTACAATAGTTATTATGTAGATCTTGGTCCACAGCTGTGTAGATCATGGTCCAAAAATGACGTCATTTTGCATACTTTTTTTTTTTTTTTTAATTTTTTTCACAACCTACGGCAACATACATTTTTATAACTCATAATGTACATTATTCTAAAGCATAAAGTACATCATATTATCTCAGAAGTTTCATTATCCTAACACGTAAAGTACATTATTCTAACACGTAAAGTACATTATTTTAACACATTAAGTACATTATTCTAACTCATAATGTACATTATTATAACTCATAAAATTCAACATTTTGGACCATGGTCCACACAACAATTTTTCTTATTTTTAGTCCTAGATTTATAAGCATATCCTTTTATTTATTTATTTTTTCAGAACATCCCCATTGGTTCTAGTATTATTGTGGCATGTCATTCCCAACAAACTTGTTTTAATGACATTAAATATGAGGACATTTTGATCAATTCAGTTCTAACAGGGCGTTTGGTTGGGAGGAAGGAATTAAAGGGGAAATGAATATTGGGAAAATAGCATTAAAAAGGCATTTTAAGTGGCTATTTTGTGGTACAGTTATCAGTGGGGCCCACTTCTGATTTGGGTTGGGTCAAAGTGGATTCGGGTTCTTCGTAGTGAGTCGAAGAGATTGATATATTGTACGCTCAAAACGGATAATGGGTGAATGAGATTTTAATTCTCAAAGTAGACCCATTTGAGTTGGAAAATGAAGGAAAAAAGTGATCTTTTGTCCCACATCGGTTTGGGAAGAGGATTTGCCCCACTATTTATACACGAGCTCTTTTAAAACTTATTGAATGTATAGCATAGAGGCTCTTTCTCGCGCGCTTCTTAACATACTTTTATGTGCATACTTGATATCACTAGTACAAAATTGAACATAGAAGATTGACCTTAAACTACTATTGTTGAAAAAATGGTCAATTTTATAAATAAGTGATCAATAATCCACCACCATTGTTAATTGTAATGGTTGCCCATTATATTTTTTATGTATTTAAAAAAAAATTAATTTATAATAGGCAACCATTTCTAATAGAAATGATTGCCTAATATTAACCCAGATCTAGATCCGAAATCGTCTCACCGCACGCTGCTTCAACACTTCAAATCTTCGAACCACGAATCACCGGCTTCAACACTCCCACCCATCGCCCATCGCCTAGCTATCACCGGCTTCACGTTGCACCCCGACCACCACCGTCGCACACCACCAACTGTCGTCGCACACCCACCACCGCGACGCCGACGCCACAGCCGCCACCACGCCGTCGATCTGCACCCCTCCCTTGCCCTGCGACGATGGCGGCCTCCCTGTGACGATGCCACAGCCGCCGGCTCCAATCACGCGGTCTGAACCCTAATTTGAATGAGCTAGTACGTGATTTGCATAATTTTATTTTTATTTCTGAGCTTTATTTAGGGTTTCAACAGTATTTGTATGCATACACGTTTCTGTAAATGGAAATAACGAGGTAATATGGATATAACGTTGAGTATCTGTTATGCAAAATACGTGACTTCAATCAGCTCGAGCTGGAGCTAGGTGTTTCCTGAGGAGATTTTGCATGGTTGAATCTTGTCTTCTGATATCCAGTTAGAGCTAACAGTATCTGTTCTGTGCTTGGATGTAATTATTTAGCTATATGTGTTTATTGTGGGAAATGCTCATTATTTGTGCTCTGAATGTTTTATTAATATCCTCACTACACTTTTGGGCACTTGTAGTTTTGGGGATGCAGTTTGATATCATCTTGCTAGATGGCACTTAATCTATCTCAAGTTTTGATAAGATTTCTGATGCATTTTCTTGCTGATTAAAGTTTATGCACTACCTATGATAAGGAATTGCTTCAGGGAAGAGCACCGTCTCAAATCTTTTCAAGTCTCGCGGTATTCCGGTCGTCGATGCCGACATCGTTGCTCGTGTGAGTATCATTCCTTAATAAGGTTTCCACACTCCAAATTGTGCTCTGAATTTCGATCATTTCACCATTATTAACATGCTGCTAAATGTATTAGAAGTAAACTTAATCAGTGGTTTTGCGGAATTCATGTGACAGTTGTTTGTGATTATGCAGAATGCCTTGAACAAAGGCACTCGAGGGTGGAAAAAGGTAGTGGCTGCATTTGGAGAAGACATCTTGCAGGCCAATGGCGAGGTGGATCGTGCCAAGCTGGGTCAAATTGTGTTTTCTGATCCTGCAAAACGACACCTCCTTAATAGGTGTTTATTCATAAGCATTTAGTTGTGTTTTTAGTCTCATAATTTGTGTTTATTCCTCAAATATACTTAATCTTTATCATCAAAATCAGTTATCCTTTAGCTGCTTACTTGATTTTAGGGACCAACCATGATTATTGGCCTTCTTGGTTTGAACCGGCAACCTAGGCTGGTTTACCTATGGTCCTTTGCAGGCCAGGGTCACAAGGCGGGGTTAACCCAATGTACACTCAAAGAGTGGAATTTTAATGTGGCGTAATAACTGAATTGTGCATGTTCAATATTATTTGTAGAGTCATCGGTTTATGCATGCCAGATTGAGTTGGAATGCCATTGTATTATATTATTTTCTTCAAAGCACAAGGAATCTGTTTAATTGTAGCAAAATGTGTGAACTATGTGTTTGCATTGTAGTAAGGAGCTTTTAAGAATGAGTTGCAGAAAATCTATGAGAATACAGTGTATGAGCTTCTGAGATTTTGTTATGATGCATTTGTAGGCTGTTAGCGCCTTATATTTCATCTGGTATCTTACATGTTTGATTATTGTTTCTCACTTAATCTATCCTTTATGCACTACCTATGGTGTCATTTTGGTATTCTATAGCAGAATTTTAAATATTTTTATATTTTGGCTTATTCTTGCTTCAATTTTTCAGATTATTCGTTTTATTCCTGTTTCGATTTTATCTGAAATTGAGAGATATAGGTTTCTATTTTTTTTTTAAAAAAATGCTGAATTTGTAGCTTTAGCTCTTACTTATCGCAGGTGTTCAAAGTTCAGTTTCGTATTTTGTTCACTTTATTTTGTTGGTGATTAGCTTTTATTTACTTAACTGAACCTGCTTGAAGGATACATGTCATAGTAATAGAAAAGAAGATCACTTTGTATGTGCTTTAAATGCAGTTTGAACATGATACAAAGTAGGGATCCTATTTGACTGGCTGAAAAGTTTTAATTAAAATGGGCTTCCCTATACATAGAGGTGTCATCACACTACATAGTCAATGTCCCCACCACCCGGGGTTCGATCCTATGACCAACCATTTGAAATGCTAATAGAGGTGTCATCACACTACATAGTAGTTCGCAAATACAATGACCTAATTATTTTCTTATTTCAATTGAAAACCAAAATGGCTTGAGCTTCCCAGTTCCCACAAACCAATCCAAGTACTTCTTTCAGTTTGTGCATGAGTTTTGATCTTTTGCATTTTTTCTTGTTCTTTCAACTTAATTGTAAAACTTTAGATGATTTTGATAGGATATTACAGAATATTTGTCATCAAACTCATGAATGTAGTCCATAACTGGGGTACTCTAAGTTGTGAAGTCCTAAGCATGCTAAAATTACTTCTTTTACTTTTACAATGCTCTTTACTATGTATTTGACAATATCATCATTTCATGTATATATTTTTGTTTCTTTATAGTACTGACAGGGCTTTAACCTTTTTTTTTTTTTTTTTTTTTTTTTTTTTTTTTTGCAGTGTCATCTTATTTCCCATAGCTATGACCTTTTACATAACATGGTGGTTCATTTGTTTTGTGGATGGCTTCTTTTCTCCAATATATACTCACCTGGGAATAAATGTATTCGGTAAGTATAGTGGTTAGTTTGTGTTTTGTGTATTTCAGCAAGACTATTTCCTTTATATGTGTACCAGCATTACATATCTTCTTTTACTGTATTGCGAAACCGTTTAGCTCTGTCCTGTTCTGAGTAAAACATTAAAAAAATCAGCTTCCATAGTATTAGCATTATTTTGATTGAGTTCTGGAAGAGGCTGTTTTGTTTATTCTATTCATTTTTTGCAATACCTATATACAAAAAGTCTATTAAAAACTAGAATACCATGCTTTTGTAAAACATTACAATGGTGAGCGAAACTGAAAAGCATTACCTTCCGTGTAGCTTTTATATTAACGCATAGAAAATGACAAAAATCATTGACAATTTTTGCCATTTAAGTTTAAATTGGGAGACTAAAGATGAAAATGTATATAATTATGAGACTAATGAGTCTGTTCTTTTATGCTTCCCATATTTGGAAATTCAATTGAAGAATAGCTTTTTTTTTTTTTTTAATAGAATTGGTTCTTTTTCTGAATAGAACTCCAAGTAAGATGGTGAGAATGAGGCAAGAAAGGAGAGGAAAGATGAATTCTTGAAATTCTTCGATGCCTGTCTTTGATCTTGGTTCTGCAGCTTATGCTTGGGCTTATTTAACCATAAAATTGTTTGATTTCAAAGGACCTCTCTGATGTGGTTTTAGTAGGTGCAGGCATTGACTCAGTATCAAATGAACACAAGTTGGAGTTTTATAGTTTATGCATGTAATGACAAACAGATAAGTTGTGATGATGTTTTCTTTTTTAGTCCTAAGGTTTCTGTCTTCTACTCTTCTGTGGAGATGTTTATTATCTTTCGGTTCCTATCAAAGGTTGGCTTATGGAGGTAACAGAAATAAATGCTAGACCTTCTTAGATGTTAACTTTCAAAATATATGCTATGAACTTCAAATTGCTGATGAATGAATTAATGAAAGTCGTCCTAGTACCATGATATATGGAGTGTGATCAGTTCTATACATAAAGTGGTACTTAACAACTTGTATGTGGTTGCAGGTTCACTCTAAAGGTTTTAATCTGGATGTGGTACAGAAACTTGTTTCAGATCTAGAGAGAAAGTATAATGGTAAAGTTACCACTCTAGTTTGTTTTCCTTCTATGTTTTATGCTTATGCAGTTATACTCATGTCTTTATTACTTATTATATGTGTCAAGCTACCGCCTTACTTCTCTAAGGGGTGGGGTGGAAGGTGGAGGATTGACTAAAGGATTGATTTTCTTGTCCATGGGCAGCTGAAGCTACTTCACTGGAGATCGAGTTCTACTTTGTGGAGTACTGATGAGAAAACTTTTGAGACATGGATATGCCCACTTGTGCATGCTCTAATTGGATATTGCAATGATACTATTATAATGGTAATTTTAAACTGTGAAGTTGTTCTTCTTGGAGGATCAGTTTGGGAGATCTCCTTTCTGGTGCAAGACATATTTCTGATGCAATTATTTGTTGTAATTTCATTCTTTTCTTTTGTAGATTTTAATTATTTTTAATTTAGAATTGTAAATATGTAATTTCATTTATTGTTTTTTACAAATACTGTATTAATTTCATAATGGTTGTGTGAGAATTGCATGGTGCAAAATAATATAGTTTTAAAATTATTTTTAATTTTTTTTTTTTTAATTTTTAAAAAGACAATACGCGACCATTCCTATTCAAGAATAGTCGCGTATTACATTTGAATATACGCGACCATTCTTAGTCAAGAATGGTCGCGTATTACATTTGAATAGAAAACAATACGCGACCATTCTTGGTCAAGAATAGTCGCGTATTACCGACAATGCGCGACCATTTTAAAATGGTCGCGTAAAGTCCATGACTTTGCGCGAGCCTCTCATAGGCGACCATTGTACAATGGTCGCCTATTGTCTTTTACAATGGTTGCCTATCTGCAATTTTGTACTAGTGTATTAAACTCATATGATTTCATGTTAATTGGAAGCTAACTATGTGCATATTTGATTGTGATAAGTGCTAATTCTTAGTACTTTTATGCGCATACTTGATATCAAACTCATATGATTTCATGTTAATTGGAAGCTAACTATGTGCATATTTGATTCCTTTGTGTCATTTAGGTTATTTGGAGGCATTGGTTGTAACTTCATGTAAATTGGAGCTCAATTGGTTGTGTTTTGAAGTCATCTTGATAGAAAGGCAAGTTCCGGGAGTCATTAGAGGTAAAGAAAAGGAAATAAAGTGAGTGGAAGTATCATGACATGACCTGGGGACCCAAAGGAACAAAGGAGATGAAGAAATATGTATTTTGAAGTGAAAAACATGGGTCACGCTGGTGGTCACGCCGTGATTGCTAGCGTGACACCATTCTGCTTTGTATTTTTTTCTGTCAGGCGAAGTCTCGGTAATTTGAGCATATCTCGGGCTAGGAGTGTCCAAATAGCGTGATTCAAGTGACATTAGAAAGGAAACTCAGAGAGCTACAACTTTCATGAAAACCACAAAGGCTAGTTTGGACGTTTACAACGTGAAAAATGGTCTAGAAACCAGAGATACTGTGCAGAGATGCTGGTCACGGTGGCGGGCACGGTGTGACGTTGACCGTGACCAGCAGAGACCTGCGAGGCTTAGGCCTAGTCACGATGTAGGTCACGCCCTGACCTCCATCGTGACCAGGCATTCTGGAAGCAGTTAAAAGGACGCGATTCCAAAAGTATAAAGTATCTTTAGGCATTATTTTCATTTGTCTTTCAATTTCCAATCTCCCTCTACACCTTCTCTCCATCCAAACCCTTTAGAACAAAAAATCTATTGTATTCCATCATCTTTTGGAGAAGATTTAAAGGGTGATTAACGTATGTAATTGCAACTTTCACTTTCAGTTTCAAATTTACATTATACAAGTTCTATCAAGTTAAGTTCTCAATTTCTTACTTTTACATTTCACATAATTTGTAGTTTGAATTTATTGTTCATTACTTTAATTGCTTTTAGTTTATCAATTTCATTATGAGTAGTTAAACTAGTTAGAGATTTAGATTGAATTGCTTTGTATGAATGTCAACATGAATTAAATTAAAAAACCTAGGGCTTGCAATATATTTAGATTGAATTTGATTGTGAATTTGGTAAAATGTTTTAATTTGACTCTTGCTTGGTTAGGGCCCAACTTTGTAAGGGGATTTTGGATTTGGTGCTTCACCTATGAGAATAGGGATTCACCATAGCCAAACCTATCACAATTCTAACTCACTCTTAAGAAAGGGGAGTTGGAAGGGATAGAGCACACAAGGTATTTGATTAATTGCCTCATCTAGTCTCTTTGCCATGAGAATGAAATTAGAACTTAGGTGATAGCCCAATGACCATGAGAATGGCATTGGCACTTGCTAAACGCCTTCACTTTCATTATTGATATTTATTTGCCTTAGAATTTAGAACACTAAGAAGCATTTGTACATTGCTATTTAATCTAAGTCCTCTCTTTTATCCTTGTCCACTACTTAATCATTTAGTTGTTTTAAAATTGTCTCTATGCAAACGAATATTCCATTTTGGTTAGCTTTCAAACACTTAATAATCTTGTGTTTAACCCCATCTCTACTCAATTCCCTTATAGCCATTCCTAGAGGACGACAGTCACTAAAACATCACCACTAAAATCAACTTTCAAATGGCGCCGCTGCCGGGGAATGACATCGGTTTTGAGTAGTGAGTCCATTTGGGTTAACATGAGATAACATTAAATTAGAGAGTCTATCCCCCATTTAGTTTTTGTTTTGCAATTTACTTTGTTTACTTGTGAACTTTTGTCTCTTGAAATGAAACTACCCTCTCAAGCAACTACTTTTAGTTGCAAAATCTTTCTCTTGTCTTTGTGATTGTAGGTTGATCCAAGATGATGTTTTCTATGTCAAGATTCCAACAAGAGGATCAATATGAGGATCAAGGAAGCTATAAGCCACAAAGGAGATGCTATGATGCTCAATCTTTCAATGGTTACAACTATGGATACTTTGAGGACTATAGCTCACCTTCCCCAAGAAAATATAGAACTTCACAAGAGGAAAATCGACCAAGAAATCCAGCACCACTTTGGGCTCAATATGATGATCAAGAGATGGCTTATGATGATTATTACAATCCAAGGAGAAACAAAAGCCATTATGAAGAGCCTCAAGACCACAATCAAGACCAATATGAAGGATACGAGGACTACATACCCCAAGAAGGATACAATGATGCTCAATCATATGGCCCTTATCTAAGTCAAGCTCCACCTATAGAAGATGGATATCATAATGCTCCATCACAAAATCTCTATTCACAAAAAGCCTACCCTTATAACTCTTACTCCAAAAACATCCAACACTCACAAACCCCTCAAAATGAAAAATATTTCCCATACACTCAAGATGAATATTACCCTTCATACGCTCACAATCCTCAATACCCTCCATATTCTCAAGATCATCAAGACTACCCATACTACTCCAACCACTATAAGGATGAGGAGTACACGATGCAAGCATATGAGGGGGAAAGCAAGGAAGAAATGAGGAACCAGATCTTGGCAATGTTGGCAGAATTAAAACAAGATATGACTCACTTCCGACAAGAATGGAAGCAAGAGTTAAGTCAAGAAATCTCATCCCTAAGGCAAGAAATCGCCCCCCTAAAGCAAGAGACTAAAACCTCACTTAGGGATTTGGAGAATCGAATTGCTCAAGTGGCTATGTGGGCAAATGAATGGGAGAACATTTGTGTGGAAGAGATGAATATAAGAGATGGGGTGGTAGAGAAAGAGATAGAAGATGAAAGTGATGAAGATTTAGAGAACGTGTGGGATGATGAAGAGCTTTGTGGTGACACTTTTGAGCCGTCAAATGGAGTTGAGAAATTGGATGCCTTAGAGGAAGGAGAGTGTGAAAAAGGAGTTGAGGATAGCAAGGCAAGTGTTGATAATATTGAAGAGGATATGGAAGAAAATGTGTCAACTGAGAAAGCTAGTGGCAAAATTAATGAAGAAAAGATAAGAGATGAAAATTTTGAAATGGAAATAAAATAAGAAAGGGAAAAAGAGGAAGAGAACAAGAAGAGCGAGTATGAGAGCATATTCTTTGAAGTAGATCAATGTCAAACCTTTGAAGAGAATATGCTAGTATTGAGCTTTAGAGAGTTTGTGAACGCCCGACACTTGAGGGCGTATCTTGAAGAGCGAGTGGATGGGGTAAAAGGACTAGTTCTCATCCAAGTGTCCATGGATGGTTGGTTGTAAGTTGCGTCGAGCCATGGACGTTAAATGTGGCGCTTCTTGGGAGGCAACCCAATGTTATCTTACTTTTTATTATTTTCTTTTTCCATTGTTTGTGTGATTTTTCATTTGATAGGCAATCTCTTGTTGGATCGTGAACTTCTAGAAGGAGGAACTTTGGTGGAAAAGCAATTCACATCTTTCGACTATCATTCTAAGGGAGTTCCCTACAACTTCTACTCCCTATTCTTGCATGATTTGACCATGGTCCATTCATATGATTGCTACATTGTTGCATGCTCCACCCCATTTTGCCCCACCCCCATACTAGTTGCTTGCCTAATGATTTGTTTTGCTTGAGGGCAAGTAAGATCTAAGTGTGGGGAGGGTTGAGATTCTTGCAAATACCATGACATCCCCTTTGGAATTATGCTTTTGTGAAGATGAGGTAGATAGGATATGCATTTGAACGTGTGAATATGTTATTGTTCCTTTTACTTTGCAATTGTGGTAAAAGGGGTGTTATAGGCTCAATTGGTTGAAAATGTTTGGAAATCACCTCTTACACCATGTGAGATTTGCATAGGACCCAATTAGGATTTATATTTAGTTTGCATGCTTGTTTGCGGTTCAATTCCCCACTTCCATGGACCTAGGTCAATGATCTCTCGAAATGGGAGTGTATACGGGATAGTTTTGTGAAATGTAAGGTGGTATGACCTGGAATGAATTTTCTCGGTGTGGCACAGGGCAAAAGGAGAGATTTTTCTTTAAGTGAGATGTGTGATTCCCTACTCCCAATGAAAAAGGCAAGAGGGGTTGAAAAAAGTAAGAGTCAATGGAAAAAGCTAAAAAAGACTTTAAGCTATCCTTGCATGAGAGGGAAAACATGAGGTGAGCCATCTCGTAGGTGATATGAACCTAGTCCAAGATTCAAATAAGATGGAATATCGTCCCAAGAATGCTCTCAAAGTAAAGATAGAGATGGATCAAAATACCTTAGACCTCACGAAAAACCCTTTGTCTCGAATCCTCAAAGACTTAGAAGAATCTCATGTAGCTTCAAGTACCTCGATGATGCAATCTTCAATCAACTAGAGTCGGATCTAGTTTCCTTCGATTCAAGAACAAGTCCACGAACCTAAATCTAAGGTTGAAGAAAGGAAGATTGATTCGAGTCCACGAATCAATTTGCTAGTCGAGTCCACGACTAGCTACTAATTGAGTCCACAATTAGCCATAAGGTTTCTTACACAAGTGTAAAGAAAAACTTAAGAATTTTATTGATTTAAAGCCTTTGTTAAGTAACCTCCAAATAAATACTGTAAATATCAACAAAAATTTCGGACCAAGAGGATCCACACAACCCCTTCAAAACAGAAACAAGAATTTCAAGAATCACCTAGAAAAACAGAAACGCTGCCCTTACTTCGAAGATCAATATCTCAATGACCGTAAGGAATTAGCAAGCGTATAATATATCAATAGAACTCCCCAGAAGAGATCTAAAACATATAAAAATTTCAGATAAAACTAACCAGTGGATCTCGAGATATAGGTCATTCTTTGAAACTGGTCACAGAACGTGGAAATCTGGACAGGGTGTGATTACGACGAGATTGCACGTAAATGCGCTTTGGATTTAGGTAAGGGTGAGATGGGGTTGTTTTCTTGACAGAATTTATGGTAATATGGTGCTTAGGAGGTGTGAGGTCTCGTTGATATTGGACGGGAAAAAGGGAAAACTCTTTTGGGATTGGTTTTCAAGAAACTGGAGAACATGTATCAAGATTCAAGAACACAATCAAGAATGCAAAGGAAATTTTTTTTAGGGTTTTTTATGAATAAGACACAAAAAAAAAAGTAGTATGTAAGATAAGAATGAGATAAACCTAGGCTCTGAATACCAAATTGATAATGAGATAAACCTAGACTCTGAATACCAAATTGATATGAACCTAGTCCAAGATTCAAATAAGATGGAATATCGTCCCAAGAATGCTCTCAAAGTAAAGATAGAGATGGATCAAAATACCTTAGACCTCATGAGAAACCCTTTGTCTCGAATCCTCAAAGACTTAGAAGAATCCCATGTAGCTTCAAGTACCTTGATGTTGCAATCTTCAATCAACTAGAGTCGGATCTAGTTTCTTTCGATTCAAGAACGAGTCCACGAACCTAATCTAGAAAGCAAGTAAATATAGTCCTATTTAGAAAGGGATTTAAGGAATCCTTTTCTAGATACAAAAAGAGTCCTAAACCTAATCTAGAAAGCAAGTAAATATAGTCTTATTTAGAAAGGGATTTAAGGAATCCTTTCTAAATACAAACTAGTGTTTTCTCTTTAATTCCAAACAATTTAAAATAATGATGACCACAAATAATAAAGCTGATTTGGGCCTTGGATCTTGTGATTGACCCAATTTGTACTCTTAATGGATCTTCATTATGTTGGGCTGCATCATCCTCCCCTTCTTGAAAAATGATTCGACCTCGAATCTTCTATACATTGTCTTCGATCTGTGACATCACTTGAAATGGGTCACTTATAATACTTTCCTCTATCGAATGGAATTTTTATTGGGCTTTCTTGTTTCTTCCACCATTGATGCTTTAAGGATGTAGTTATGGGCCTTGTGATAAGCCCACTATTTACCCTTACTGGATTCCATGTGTACTGGTTCCTATTATTAGGATTCAAGTAACCATTGCACAAACTTCAAAAAAGCGTAGAGCTCTACGTGAAGGTGGTTGACTTGACGAGGTCTCCTAGAGATGATTAGAAAAAAGAGAGAATCTCACGCTAAGCCAAAACACGTGGAGCGGCTTGTGTCACACCATCACACTGACTAAATGGGTCTTTGGGGCCAAATGAGGCAAAGTTGGAGAGCCCGTGTGCATCGTTCCCATTAGTTGGCTCGGCTTTTTAGGCATGTGGAAGTTGAGGATTGAATCATTTCTTTGCTTGTGAATATATGTGTGTTTGAGAGAAATTCCATGTAAAACAATGAGTGAACTTGGGGTTTTAGGGTCCTTACATTTTGATCCAAGTGAGAGTATCACATTCACTTCACCACTGTTGCAAAGTAGGAAGAGGAACAACATATGTATGATTTCTTGGGCATAGCTCATTTACTTGATCTTTAGAATTGTGTGATTGCTTTTGATGATGCCTGGTAATTCAATCTGCTTAACTTGGTTTTGTCTTGCTTGAGGGCAAGCAAGGTCTAAGTGTGGGGAGATTTGATAAGTGCTAATTCTTAGTACTTTTATGTGCATAATTGACATCAAACTCATATGATTTCATGTTAATTGGAAGCTAAATATGTGCATATATATTTGATTCCTTTGTGTCATTTAGGTTATTTGGAGGCATTGATTGTAACTTCATGTAAATTGGAGCTCAATTGGTTGTGTTTTGTAGTCATCTTGACAGAAAGGCAAGTTCCGGGAGTCATTAGAGGTCAAGAAAATGAAATAAAGCGAGTGGAAGTATCATGACATGACCTGGGGACCCAAAGGAACAAAGGAGATGAAGAAATATGCATTTTGAAGTGAAAAACATGGGTCACGCTGGTGGTCACGCCGTGATTGCTAGCGTGACACCATTCTGCTTTGTATTTTTTTCTGTCAGGCAAAGTCTCGGTAAATTGAGCATATCTCGGACTTGGAGTATCCAAATAGTGTGATTCAAGTGACATTAGAAAGGAAACTTAGAGAGTTACAACTTTCATGAAAACCACAAAGGCTAGTTCGGACGTTTACAACGTGAAAAATGGTCTAGAAAGCAGAGATACTATGCAGAGATGCTGGTCACGGTGGCGGTCACGGTGTGACGTTGACCGTGACCAGCAGAGACCTGCGAGGCTTAGGCCTAGTCACGATGTAGGTCACGCCGTGACCTCCATCGTGACCAGGCATTCTTGAAGCAGTTAAAAGGACGCGATTCCAAAAGTATAAAGTATCTTTAGGCATTATTTTCATTTATCTTTCAATTTCCAATCTCCCTCTACACCTTTTCTCCATCAAAACCCTTTAGAACAAAAAATCTATTGTATTCCATCATCTTTTGGAGAAGATTTAGAGGGTGATTAACATATTTAATTGCAACTTTCACTTTCAGTTTCAAATTTACATTCTACAAGTTCTATCAAGTTAAGTTCTCAATTTCTTACTTTTACATTTCACATAATTTGTAGTTTGAATTTATTGTTCATTAATTTAATTGCTTTTATTTTATCAATTTCATTATGAGTAGTTAAACTAGTTAGGGATTTAGATTGAATTGCTTTGTATGAATGTCAACATGAATTAAATTAAAAAACCTAGAGCTTGCAATATATTTAGATTGAATTTGATTGTGAATTTGGTAAAATGTTTTAATTTGACTCTTGCTTGGTTAGGGCCCAACTTTGTAAGGGGATTTTGGATTTGGTGCTTCACCTATGAGAATAGGGATTCACCATAGCCAAACCTATCACAATTCTAACTCACTCTTGAGAAATGGGAGTTGGAAGGGATAGAGCACACAAGGTATTTGATTAATTGCCTCATCTAGTCTATTTGCCATGAGAATGAAATTAGAACTTAGGTGATAGCCCAATGACCATGAGAATGGCATTGACACTTGCTAAACGGCTTCACTTTCATTATTGATATTTGTTTGCCTTAGAATTTAGAACACTAAGAAGCATTTGTACATTGCTATTTAATCTAAGTCCTCTCTTTTATCCTTGTCCACTACTTAATCATTTAGTTGTTTTAAAATTGTCTCTATGCAAACGAATATTCCATTTTGGTTAGCTTTTAAACAC